CTGCTGCTGCTACTGCTACTACGACTGCCTACTACTGCTACTACTACTGAAGGAAGTGTCAAGTACTTGATGCTACAGCAGACGGCCCTTTCACCACAACTACCACCACTACCGCCACCACTACTACTAGTACCACTACCATTACTACACCACCACCACCACCACCACCACCACCACTACTACTACTACTACTACTACCGCCACTACTACTGCTACTACGCCTGCTATTGCTACTATTGTTACTACTACTATTACCATTACTAGTATTATGAGTCCGGGTCGCTGCGGAAGTGCGCTTTATCACTTTTTCGCATGACCCGAAATCGAAGCAAAAAGATGCTAAGCAGGCAACGATGCATCGACAACCCGGTGCTGAATAAATTTACAAAGCAAAAACAGCAAACATGCATTTTACTCAAAGGCAACTTTCCGCAACTGTCGTGTGTTTTTGTGCATGGTTGAATGTATGTATTCTTTGCATAGAAAATAGAAACTAGATTAAAAAGCATACGCACACACACACACACACATATATATATATATATATACGTATACATGTCGGGAGATCGATTCGCTGTGAGAGTATAGCTTAAACATACAGAATACATGCTGCACATATACGTATAGACACGTACATATGCACATGCTACACTTTGTACGTATAGCATATAGAGAACTTTAGTATGCAAAGATTGTACAGTACATATAATCACAGTGCAAACAGGCATATATATATATATATGTAGCTTCTACATACAGTTTATGTAGTTTATATACCATTCAGTTTATGACATATACAGTTTTGCTGTACTCTGTATAGCATACTTTCTGCACCATATAACAGGTAACACAATCTAGATGCCAAGCGTCGTCTACACACATAGACATCAACACATATACATATATATATATATATTCATGTACTTATTTATTTATATGACATTTCATGGTTATATATATATATATTATATAATTTGCATACATATATAAATATATGTACTCTTTTATATATGTAGAGGTTACATATGTGTACTGAAACTGCAAACAAAGAATAATTAAAGAGATACATAAACATGTATGTGTGTATATACATATACATATATATATATATATAGAGGGAGAGAGACATATGTACACACACACACCCCACGCTTACATACGGTATGTGCAGGTTTATCGTATTTATCGTTGTATTGGGAGCTCTAGAGCAAGACAAGCAAGACACACACACACACACACAACACAAATGGAAAAAGATGGAAAGCAGCACACACACACACACATATATATATATATATGTATGGAAACCTGTTTATCATGTATGTATATGTATGTATGTATGTATGTATGTAAGTATGTATCTATGTATGTAAGCATGTAAATATGTATGTATTCAATTACAGTCTAATGTATGCAGAGGATGTATATGTAATGGTCTAAACAGAAACAGATATAACATAGTCTGCACATGCCTTTCAAAGGATAGTATCGTACCAAACAAACTATGCCTGGTCTGTAAATGAAGGTTTTTATAGCATGCAAAGTATGTGCAGTACACAAAGTCCATGTAATATATACAAGCACTGTATATTGAGCACATCTTCTGTACATCTTATATACGACATATATTATATTGTTTGTGTATAGCAGTATCTGTAGTGTATGCTTTGGATATACACTGTATGGACACACACATATGTATGTGTATAGATATATATGTATGAATATATATATACACACACATAGTATGTCTTACTAAAGGTTAAAGCTGAGTAAGCCAGATATTTCAGTAAATATCCATATTCAAAAAGTCGCCTAGTGAAGTGGGTCCGCACCAATGGAGGTCAGCATCGCGGTTAAAGCTTGCGCAGTAGAACACAGAAGCAAGCGCGAGTGCGACTGTCTCAGTAGTGCTCCTAAGGCGGGGACGGTACGCGGGAAACTAGAGGCTAAGGGTTGTTATGCAGTTGTTATGGTATTTAAGGTCTTTGTGCCGTCTAAAACAGAGGAATTAAAGGACTTGAAAACCTAAAGAACAGAAAAACCTAAAGAATCTAAACAACCTAAAAACCCTAAAGAACCTGGAAAACCCAAGTAACCTAAACAACCTGGAAGCGCATTTAAGTCCGTACATAATCACATGAATCGCTAGCTCTTTGAGCGAAGCGATCGGACACTGACGGTACCGGTCCGTAGACCCCAGCATACCGTAACGTCCAAGAATACCCCGCCTGTGTTGCCGTCAAAATGGAAGAGCCCGCAAAGACACTCGCAGACAGCACATTGACAGCACTGTACAGCTGCTGCCACAGCTTGTTTGCCTTATCTCTCGGCAACATCCGAATCGTTTCCTTGATGCCAAATAGTTGCAGTTAACATTACCAGCCCTACCACCTGACAGGACTAAACATGGCCTGCTCCAGTAGAGCTTTGAGAAGACTTCCACTAGATCGCGTCGGGTGCTACTTATCTGGCCCAGGAACTCCAGCATGTCTTTGGCTCATTATGCGGCTCCTCTCTGAGAGAGGCGCAAGACTCTTGGAGTCTTCAGACTGGCATACCCATAGGCCCCATAGTAGTTCCTTTTTGGGATTATCTTATAGGTTTCTATTTATGAACCCCAAAAGGGAACTACTACGGGGCCTATGGGTAGAAAGTTCGTTTTACTTATGTTTCGGACAGGACAGAAGCTTGCGCAGGTTGACTTCTTGGTGGGTGGACCCTTGCTTCCTGAACCCAGGGTCTAGGGTTTAGGGCTTAGGGGTTAGAGTTTAGGGTTCGGGGTTTAGGGTACAGCTTTAAGGATCTTGGAGTTGTAGCCACATGGTCGTTGCATCCTGAAAATTGGGATGACCAGCTGATCAGTTTTTGCAATCTGGGGTAGCCACATGGCACGAGTCCACAGCACAGTCGGTGCCTTGGTTCCTGGCATATGCGTAGTCCAGGTGTAAAAGGGGTTTAGGGTTCAGGGTTTAGGGTACATTGGTTTGTGTTGTGTTGGGAAGTTTGGTGCGGAAGGTCGCTCCGATAGCTTTCATGGAAAGCCGGCTCGTCCGAATTCGCGGTGGTAGGTCCAGAACGGTAGTATTCCATTCCCGCATCCGGCACACTAGATGTGAGAACCGTTATCCACTTGGAAGGTTGCCCCATGGTTGGCAAAGAATGGCAGCACATTTCCACGGGACTCGCTAAGCTTGAGCTATGGGACTGTTTGGGATAAAGCCCCAAGATAGCTCCCGATTGAATGACCCCCCTCCATCCGAACAGCCTGTTGGAACTTGTTAGGCGGCCGTCTTTGCAGATAGCGCCGGTCAGCAGATAGCCTTTGCTGTGGGGCGGCAGCTGGCAGTGCGACATGTGGCCTGTGTCAAACCTGGAGTCAGTCCTTCAGGGTCCTCTAGACGCTTAAAGCCCCCCTCCCCCCCACAAGACGGATCATCTTTCCACGAGCAGAGCGTTCTTCAGATCTCCTGAAGCGTGTGCGCTGTAGGGCTGGTAGCTTTGATGTCCCAATCGTTGCTGTCCAGCGTGGACAGGAGGCACTTGAAGCACCTCTTAGCGTTTCGGGGGGGTTTAGGGTTACGGATAGCTTGGGAATCATAGTTGAAGCTGCTGATACGCAACATGTTTCGGGGTCCTCATGATGTTTGCCTGGCAGCAAATGCAAATCCTGAATATGACGGGTCATGGGTCATGCTATGTCATGCTGACGACAAGGATTACCATAAGACGTACATTGGTTATCACAGTACCTCAGGTCGAGAACAACGAGACGAACTTCCTGGGAACGGGCTCGAGGACTGACTGCAAAGGTCATGCCGTGGCATTCCGCGAGTGACTGGCGAAAGATGCACCACGCAAGACACCCGCGAAGTTCCCAGAAGCCGCCAATCAAGAAGGGTTTCGCGAAGAGTGATTTTTCACTTGGGGCATATGACTTGCACAGTTATGTACATATGCCTCCGCGAAAATCCCGCGATGGTGTTGCGAAAGTTACCTGACTGTTTTCGCGAAGCATCTTATGCCGGGATGAAGGAATTCAGATCAACAACCACATGCATGCATGCGTGTATGTATATATGTAGGCATGGATATTTATGAATGCTACTGCATGTTCGTCTCTCTGTTCGTTGGCCTGTCTGCCTGCCTTGCTTTCTGCCTGTCTGTTTGTCTGTTTGTCCATCTGTATGCAAGAATCGAAGGTAAGTAGGTATTTGTTTTTGAATGCGTATGTTTCGCTATCTATGTGGTTGCGGATGTATGTCGCTTCATGCGATCTCTGAAGGGTAGGTCCTGCCGAGACTGAAGAACTCCCCTTTGCCGTTGATGTTTGGTCTGGTCTGGTCTGGTCCAGTACGGCACGCTGCGGTATGGTGGGGTTTTGCTGTGCTCTGCCTTGCTCTGCGGTGTATTAGCGTTCTAGTATTCTATGGTATGCTATGGTACGTATACACACGTGGACATGTACATGTCGGTTTATAAGCACATGTATTGATATGCGTGCCAAGGTATGATGGCGGTTTCGGCAGCAGGCAGCAAGCTTCTTAACCCGAAATCCACATGTCCATGATGCAAATGCCACGAGTGTTATCGCATGTCACATCCGTTATGCTCAAGTCCACTGCAGTCTTACCAAATCGTCAATCCTCGCATTAGAGCATGGACAGAGCAGCCGCTGTCGCTATGGGCTCCCGATGGGCTCCTGGTTTGAGACAGCAATTCCCCCATGTTCCCGTTTGGAGGATCGACATGATCACAGCCTGTGCCGTGTCGAACGACCGTAGTCTGATGGTGGTCGCGGAGAAGTGCAGCAACGAAGCGAGGCAGTGTCTGCTTTTTTACATATATGTGTTCCTATATGCCGGATCCTAGCATATCATCTTGAAAGCATATACGGTATTATGTGATCTTGTTGCGGTTGGTGTCTGTGGTTGTTGCTGCGTCAGTAACGACGCTGAATGCTGATGGTGTTGGCTGCTTTTGCTGCAGCGCCATTCGGATGCTGGCGCGTAGATTTGATCGAGAGAGTTGTAGTTCCCAGTCATTAGCCATTTATCCATCGCTACTTCACACCATCATCCGAAGCGCCCTGTAGGGACGGGACTAGGCTTGCCCGGGCAGTGGGGGCGATTGCGTCCCGGGTGCCTCGAGCACAGTCACAACCCCAAATGCTGATCCCGAACCGAGGCCTCTGCCAGAACTGAGATGTCTGACCATGTGTCCCTTCAGAGACAATGTTTACATATGAATGCATGACGAGTCACTATGAAACACAGTTTCTGTAGTTTGTCGCGTATCTGAGCAGGTGCGCCTTTGACATTGTTTAGTTGTTTGCCTGTTTCTGACAATCGTCTTTTACGACCCTGTCTTCTTTTGCTTTCCCAGATACCCGACCTCCAATGCCCCCGTATTGCTACTGCTACGACTAATACTTGTACATTTGTTACGATCATTGGAAGTACTACTATTGCTATTGTCACTACCAGTGTGTTTAGTGACTACTCCTATTGCGATGTTTATCCTATTGCTATTAAATTAGTGCGAGTACTGCCGTTAAGTGATGTTAGTCCTATTCGTGCTATTACTGCTAGCACTCACTTCTGTTTCGGGTAATTTGGGGCTGTATGTTGGCTCCTTCCCCTCGAGCCCCCCGCCCCCCCTCCAAACCAGTGGGCCGACCAATGCAGCCTGATCTCTAACCCTAATCCTAAACCCTGTAACCCTAAACCGCTTGTCCGAGTTGTGAGAGTCTGAAGCCCTAAATGTTGCTGCACGTTGCTGCAGCTCTTTCTCTCTTCATGTTTCACACAGCCGACCTAAGAACACCACTTTTCGCCTGGATTGTCCCAGGGTAAGCGCCGAAACCTCTAAATTTTGGAACTGTGTCTTGGTCCCAAGTGTGAGTTAGTCTCACTTCTTTGATGACCTCGAACCATATGCCAACCATATGCTTCGCCTGGAGTGTCCGAGTGTGAGCGCCGAAACCCTGGTGCAGCTCTCGGGTGGGCAGGGGCGGGTACGCGTAGCGCTCCCAGGATTTCCGTCGCTTTGGATCTCTTGAGCCCAGAGAGCGCCAGGCTTTCGATCTATGACTTGAAGTCCAGCAGCACGAGCCCGATGAAGCCCGGCACTGCTTTCGGGCTTGGGGTCTAGGGATCTGAAGGCCCAAAACATAAGCCTCCCCCCGGGCGGCGTAGTGCTGCGGTTTGTGGTGGAATCTGTGTGAAAGCTCTGGAGACTTCAGGTTCAGGAGGATTTTTAGGGCTAAGGCCCAAAAAAGGCCCGGGGTGTTTGGGGGTTTTGAAGGGCCACCCTGCGCCTTGCAGCCTTCAGATTCTTGCATCAGAACGATTCAAGGTGCAAGCCCAGACCGTGACTCAAAAAGGGTTTAGCAAGAAGTTGAAGGGTAGTTGGCTTTTCTTCGGTGTTCTTGGGGTTGGATACCTCGATTGCGGGCCTCCTCTGGCCACGGCTTGGGGTTTTGAAACACCCTAAACCCTCAAAGGGGGCCCCCTGGCTTGCTGCTGCATGCCCCAATTTCTTTCCAGCTGTTCTGGAGCCTCGGAGCCCTGCCTTGCCAGCCTTGTGTGAGAGTCAAAGCTAAGGAAGACAATGAAGCCCCTGAGCGGTGCGCTAGGATCCACCCGCTTCGTGCTCTTGGCCAATAGCTGACCGGTTGGGTTTCATTTAGAGCAGGACTCTTGCGGCCAGCATCAATATCACTGTTCTCGTTTTTGCTACGATTCAGAGACTAGTCGACACACAGCCTCGCTGGAAGATTCGCTTGTCCCTACTTTAGCTTTTCAAGCTCCTGCTTCGAGGTTCCACCCATGACAGGTTTAGGCTTGTGCAAGGTCACGCTGTACTGCCATCTGAGAGCCCGAGAGAAGAAGTTCTGCCTTGTCTGAGGTGGCAGTCGCCTTCTCGGTGGTGTCACAGGAGCCCACACTTGAGTCGGGAAAGGGGGGCACTAGCCGCTATAGCCTTCCAGTGACTGTGCTGAAACGGCTTGGCACGCATGGCAGGAGGGAGGCCCGCCGCGGTACCTATGTGCGGTCACAGCCGGTTCAGAGCCAACCTTGGTTCTGATGAACTGGGAGTCAGAGAAGATCCTGGCCAAGTGCAAGCTCCCTGGAACCGTGGATCGTGTAGCTTTCCCCTTCCAGCACGACCGCACGGATGTCACAGTGTCAGGGCCGCACATGCTTCGGCTACTGCAGATTCGGCATGCCAAAGGCGAGGTGACCTTGAAGACGATGCCAGCGTTTTCTGGACTTCAAGAGAAGGCGCAGGCCATCCTGGATCACACTTGGCTAGAAGCGGGTCGAGGACTCCTGGGACTTTGTGCGCACGAAGGTCCTGTCCACATCCTCAGTGCTGATGAGCTGATTCTAGGCTCTTCTGGATAAACTTTATCCAACTCGAAACAAGCACAGGGACATGTCTACAGTGCGATGTTTTCCGCATTACGGTGACCTTCCTTAGAACCAGTATAGCTTGTATGATAACTGCGGTTAAGTTGCTCAGCATTCTGCGTAAAGAGTGCGCGGTTACGTGCGCTATAGGTAATTAGGCAGACCCGTTAAAGGGGACCCTTCTTAACCCTACTTCTGGCTCTCTGAAAAGGGACCTTATTGAGAGGGTCTATATCTCCAAGTAAACCCTAAACCCCGAACCCCAAAAAAAGCCCTGAACCCCTAGTTGCCATGCAGTCGGAAAGAGGTGTCAACAAAAACAAACCTGAACCCTAAAGCCTTAAACCCTGAACCCCAAACCCTAAAACTTACTCTGCAATGCGGGCTTGTCCTTGCTAGGTAGGAG